TCAGACCGGCTCCCAGCACTCGGGATAAGACAGCGTCCTGGGAGGTACAACTTGCTGTGCCCGGTGCGTTCCGAAACCCAGAGGAAGCGCAGAAGCTCCCAGGGCAGCCTGGCACACCGCAGACCCGGATGTGTGTGGTAGTTGTCGCGTTTGTTTGGTTTGTCTGAATTTGTCAAAGGGCGAGAGAGAGAGAGAGAGAGAGAGAGACACAGAGAGAGAGAGAGAGAACGATCCGCCACAGGGCCCAGTCATGCCTCCATCTCTTTGTTTCTCCCTCCTGCTGGGATTTTGAGCATGTTTGCACACACATGCACACGCTCCTAGTGTGTTTTTCAAGCTGCTGGGTCCAGGATTTGCGCTGCGTAGTTGGCCATGTGGGAGCTGGGTACCCTAACCACCGGACCGTAGGGCCAGCCCACAGACTCATTTTCTTTTCTCCCGGTGTGTGTTATACACGCACTCACAGGTGCTCGGTTGGAAGCACAGAGAACAGGTTCCTTATCTCACTGCATTTAAGAAGCACTGGTTCTCCAGGTCCTGGCCCCGTCGAGAGCTGTCACTGCCCACAACTCCAAGTTTCACATAAGTGCAGGGATCAACAGAGCACCCTTCTTAGGTACAGTTCGCCGATAACCCAGAACTCCAGCGAGTGCCTCCAAGTACTTGCTCGATGACGGAAGTGCGGTTTTATCAGCGAGCGAGAGCGACACTGATGGTCTGAATATCGCACTGTTTTACAATCGCCCTCCTGTGAAGAATTCACCCAGAAAGCACACATTCTGTATTTATAATCGAACAGAATTGTTGAGGATGTACTTTATTTTTGAAGTGTTTTTTTTTTTTTTTTTGACAGATTTTTGCTGTAGGGTATGTGTGCTCGCCAGAGAGACAGAATGAGACAGAGACAGGAAGCAAGAAATCACCCCAGCGCGGCTGGCCACGCCGCAGTCCCCTGTCCTCCGTTCTCTTCTCGGGATCTTGGGCATGCACATGTGCCTGGTAGCAGTTTTAAGCTGTCAGGTCTGAGGCTTGGACTGCAGTGGACTACCCGGGAGTCCAGCAACGTAACTATTAAGCCGTCTGCCGGTCCCTAGTTTTGAATGTTAACATTTCCACTGCCGATTTGGATCAAAGGATGAGAGAGTAACTGCCATCCGAAGGAAAGAGCGTCTCCGGAACGGAACAGTTTCCGATGCCATGCCGATACCGTCCCCTCCGTCTTCCCCGTCCACGGTCTGTGGACCAGGTGGCTGGTTCCCATGGTTTCCAAAGAACTCCGTTAACCTGGGAAGGATCACCTCAGCGCTGGCGCTTCCACGGTTTAGCTCAGCTTGTTCCAGCTCTGCCCTTTTCGTTTTGTATGTTGACCTACGGCGGAACTGTGGGAGTTAGTAAACCATGTCAATCTGGTGCTCGCTTACGTGAGAACAGTGAACGCTAGCAATAATTAAATGCTCTCAGTAACTCCCTTCCTTTCGGTCCTTCAAAAGTAACGCTCATCGGAGTCCTCTATGCCCCTTATTAGAGGCTTTGAAGCGCTAGCTGTAGAATGAGAGTCCCTCGGAGCGAGGAGCCAATGACCTTGCAAAAGGAGGCCTCTGTGTTTGACCCGGACGGTGTGGTCTTCAGTAACTAGGGGAGGTGTGTCATTTCCTCCGTAAGACACTGCCCTTCGAAGGGAGACCGTGAGAGAGGTTAGTTTCTCTGGCTGATTTATTACGAGTTGTCATTAACCAGGCCAGCGGGTAGTGTGGTGGTTAAGGCACGGATTCCCACATGACCGACTGCAGTTCAAGTCCCAGATCTGGTGGTTTGAAAATCATGCCGTGTGTGTGCACGTCCAGAATCCTGAGAGAACGGAGGAAAAGGATTGCAGTGTGGCCATCGCCCTGGAGGGTGACTCCTCACTTTCTCTCCCTGTCTCTAGTGAGTGCACGCGCCTGTGGCAACACCTAGAGAGCTGTCATCTGCCAGTTGCCGAGGTCCGCCCTGGAGTGGGCCGCGCAGAAGGCGTCCTCAGGCACCTGGCCAGCCGGCCCGGCCCGTGGTCTCTCCCTCATTTCCCCTCTGCCGTGGCTTTCCCTAGGCGGACCACTCCAGCAGGCGCGGCCAGACCCTCCCACAGCACAAGTCCCCGGAGCGCGAGCCGGCTGAGGAGAGGCCGGCGAAGGGCCCGGCTGCCCTGGTGGAGGAGCTCTCGGAGCTGGAGCAGCTGGAGGACCTGGACGACCTGGACACGTGCATGGTAAGACGCAGCCCCCGGCGCCACCACCCCACACCGGCACGCTGCTGTTTCAGAGCAGAACCACCCCACCCCGGAAGGCCAGGCCATCCGGTGCCTGCATAGACGAGATTCCCATTCATTCACTGACCTGCGGAAGGCACACCGAGGCGCCCCATAGCGGGCCCTCGTTCCTTATCTGCAGTCCACGCTGCACGTGTCTGCGTCACGTGGGTCTCTATCCTGTGTGCGCCATGTGCGTCTCTGTCACGCGTGTCTCCATTGCGTGGATCTCCGTCATGTGGTCTCTATCCCGTGGGTCTCCGTCACGTGGTCTCCACGTGGGTCTCCATCCCATGCGTCTCCACCGTGTGTATCTCCACCGTGTGTATCTCCACCGTGTGTATCTCCACCGTGTCCATTGGCCACGTGTGGGTTGTGGACGCTGTGCTCCTCAGGACGCCTTTACATTGACCGTATTTCACGGCTCTGAAACGCGGCCACCAGGCCGGCGGCCTCCCCGTCCCTGGGATCTGCACTTGCTCGTGTGTGCAGTGGTCCCTGCTCACTCAGAGCACGGACTGAGGCTAAGCGTGGTCTGTTCAAGGGTCTCCAGAAAGTTCATGGAATACGTGTCTTATGAAGACACTGCATGGATTTCAAACTTCATGTACCGAAATAAATGTGTGCTTTAATCCCATTACCCTGCAGTTGGGGAAGTCCTCTCTGAGGGGCCAGATGTTTCTATAGTAGCTCCGATTTTAGTCATTTTAGATGCAGTCATTGTTCAGGAATAGTATTTATTTTATTTTTAGCGAGAAATTTTTGCTATAGGGCACGACCCTCACCAGAAAGAGAGAGGAAAGAGACCGAAAGTGAGAAGTCACTCCCTAGGGAAGATGCCCACACCACAGTCCCTTCGCCATTGTCCTCTCTGGGTCTTGGGCACGCACGCACACGCACCCAGATGAGTTTTAAGCCACCAGAACTGGGACTCGAACCGTGGTCATTCCTAACCAGACTGGTCCTGCAGGGCTGGTTTTAAGCCATCTTCACCGGAAACCCTGGGCGTCTTGGGATCCATGAGGGTGGCCGCTCTGTGACTCCAGGTCAGGAGGGCCAGACTGGCGGGGCGCGGGGGGGGGCTGCAGACTGCAGCCTCTCCTGGAGCCCGCAGTCCCCAAGCCCCTGTCACCCGTTCTCCATGGCACTGTGGACTCCAGCTTTTTAAAGCAGTAAGGTGCGTTGTTATGGGGTTTCACCGGAGTTTTGCTGGTGGGTAGGTAGTGGTGGTAGCTAGTTTTTGTGGACTTTCGTAGACCTGGTGGTCTTGGAGAGAGCCGGTGTGTTACACAAAGCTCCTTAGACCGACTGGGCGGTGGGTCAGGTGTCTGAACCACCGCGGCCACACACTCGGGAAGGCGGCAGTTGGGGCTTCTCCAGACTGTTTTCGCCTTCCTCTGTGGTGGCTTGCCAGAGACCCCGGACCCGCTCGCTCTCGGCAGGGGTCCTCTGGTGTTTATCTTTCTCAATAAAGAAAACCCTAAATGCTGTTCAGGGCTCATATGTTTAACAATGCAGTTTTGCACGGGATGCTAAGAGCACTGGTCTTTATATTTACAGACGGGTGCACTGAGAGCGCTGGTCTGCAGTCACAGATGGGTCCACTGAGAGCGCTGGTCTGTAGTCACAGACGGGTCCACTGAGAGCGCTGGTCTGTAGTCACAGACAGGTCCACTGAGAGCGCTGGTCTGCAGTCACAGATGGGTCCACTGAGAGCGCTGGTCTGCAGTCACAGACGGGTCCACTGAGAGCGCTGGTCTGTCCATGCCTTCTGTTACACTTCACACCAGAGAGCCGCCAGCCCTAAATCTGACTAGGTGCATCACACTTCATCTCGATTCAAACTCATTTTACGTAATTGACTGAAAAGTAAACTCAAGAAGTAGTGAAGGGAATCTTTGTGGCCGTATGTTCCCCAGGGGGGGGGGTGCTGCCCGCTTGGAGGGGCGTCCCATGGTCAGATAATCTCCTACTTGGAGCTTTGACGACCGCGGGCTGTGACATCATCTGTTCCCTTTCTGCCGGACGTGGGGCTGGCGACCGGCTTACCTCGGGCCAGGGCTCCCACGGGCTGGCGACCCCCTTACCTCGGGCCAGGTCTCCCACAGGCTGTAAAGAAGGTTGCAGAGTCCAAGTTGTGCCCTCCTCGCCAGCTCTGAAGGTGGACTTGCACTGAACGAGTCAGTCCTCCCACTGTCACCACCACCGTTCGGCTGCCGTGACTGCTAGAGCAACACCCCACCTAGCCGTTCAGTGAGGTGCTTGCATTTTCCCACTTGGGGGTTTGTCACGCAAGGGCACGTCTGACCTGGCGTCCCTGAACTCAGGCTTCCGTGACTGAAGCTCTCGCACGGGCTCATGGGAAGGCACTGGGCCTCAGTACCTGGTAATTTGCTTTGCTGGCCTGTTCTTAAGAGAAAGGAGTTAAATTGCATTCACGTCTTAAAGTGAACATTTCCAGTGTGGGACTTCACCTTTGCGTCAGTTGGAAGATGAGTTAACATCAGTAAAAACAGCCATTTCCTGTTTCCTGGAGAAAATATGGCAGTGTTAGGAAGATAAATTAATTTTCTTTTATTAAAGGAGCTGTGCCTATCTGGAAATCAAAGAACTAGACTGGATTTCAGACTGTCACGCCACCGTGACCTTTACGTCTCCTCAGAGCTGCTCCCTGAAACTGGTTTCTTTTCTTTTCTTTTTTTTTCTTTTTTTTTTCTTTTTTCTTTTTTTTAGTTTTTTGCTGTAGGGCACGTGTGCTTGCCAGAGACATGAGAAGTTACCCCCTGGGGAGATGGCCACAGCACAGTCCCTTTTCCCCCGTTCTCCTCCTGGGATCTTGGGCACGCACGCACACCCAGTGTGACTTTCAAGCAGGTCTGGGATTCGAACCATGGTTGGCTGTGTGGAGCCCAGCTCCTTAGCCACTATGCCGCCTGCTGGCCCCATGCTTTTGACTTAACATCAGGGCTCCAGTTTAGCTCTGACAGGGACTGAGACCTGGAGGAAGTCGACGAGGGGCCACGGCTGCCCAGCCGGCACATGCTCTGTGGGATGTGGCACACGTACACGCACACACGTGCACGCTCCACGCAGCTGCTCACCGTCGTCCTCAGGCTAAGGGGAGGCGCTGCTGCCCAGCGGCCGTCACAGGGAGAACTGGGCGTCTCTCTTTCTCGTTGAGACCTTCGCCACCTCAGGCTCTTGGAGGGCGGCTGTGCTAGCATTCCTGGTTGAGGGTACAGGGCGTGAGTCAGCGTAGCGTCGCCGAGCTTGGCCCCCCGTCGCCGACTCCGCTGGAAACCCAGGGTCACGTGAACTTGCACCACCGAGCTCACTAAACAGGGAGGTCCTGTTTCCATTTTGAAGGCGCAGAACACGCAAGGCGAGCATTACTCCCAGTCCAGTGGGGCTTCTCTAAGGGCACAAAGTGCAGCCTGAGAGGACCCTGGGCCCCCTGAGCACAGAAAGAAAACGAGGTTAGCCACGGAGGGCAGGTCGGTGGGACCCCTGCAGGTCCATCGAGAGACTCCACAATATAAAGAGGGGTCAGTGAGGGTTTTAAAAAGGAAGCACTGGTTTATTAAAAAAAAATGTTAAGAGAGATTTTTTGCAGGGCTGGTAGGTGGCATTAGGGTAAGGGCACTGGACTCCCACATGGTGGATGGTGGTTTGAGTCCCGGACCCGGAGGCTTTTTCACTTTCTTTCGCTCTCTGGAAGTACTAAAATAATAATAGTAATAGATAAGGTTCAATAAAATAATTTTTTTAATTATTAAACTTCTTCTTATTTATTTTAATTTGACCAGAGTGGGACAAAGAGAGAGAAAGCAAGCCACCAGATCCACCTGCTGCCCCCAAAATAATATTTTTTTTTTTGGAGAGGTTTTGCTATAGGGTGCTTGCGCTCGCCAGACAGACAGAGACAGACAGAGAGACAGAAAGCGAGAAATCACCCCCCAGGGGGGATGGCCACACTGCAATCCCTTCTCCTCCATTCTCCTCTTGGGATCTTGGGCACACACGCACACGCGCCTGGCATGAGTTTAAGCCACCAGGTCCGGGACTCGAACCGCGGTCGACTTTGTGGGAGTCCAGTGACATAGCCATTATGCTAACTGCTGGTCCCTTATAATTTTTTTTTAAGAGAGATTTTTGCTATAGGGCGTGCGTGCTTGCCAGAGAGAGAGAGACAGATAGAAAGCAAGAAATCACAGCCTTGGGGGGATGGCCACCCTGCAATCCCTTGTCCTGGGATTTTGGGCACACATGCGCATGTGCCTGGCCTAGGACTCAAACTGCAGTCGACTATGTGGGAACGTCGATTGCTATGGAGCAGTGTGGGAAGTCCGGAAGCTGCAGGAGGGTCCGAGCAGGGGCTCCGCTGTCTTTATTGAGGCAGGCGGATTGTCAGCCATCCCCGGGAATAGGCCCCGCAGGGCGGAAGCATTGCCTTGCCCGGCGAGGGTGTGCTACCAAGGAGCCCTCGGGAGCCCTGGCCTGGTGGGGGCCTACCTGGGTACCATGGGATGGGGCCAGCAGGCCACAGCGGCCCCGGGTGATAGTCGGGGTGACAGTGTGTCCCCCAATCCAAGTACGGCACCTTCAGTTTTGCAAATGGTTTCTAATGTTTTCTAGCTTTCCGAGCCCCCGCGGTCTGTGTTCTGTCTGGCTGTGTGAGCAGCTTTCTGGGCGCAGGCAGGGGTGGGTGCAGAGGGACTCGGCTGAGTCGTGGCGAGCCGTGAACTGGGGGG